CAGAAATTGCGTGTGGTACTATATGAATATCTCAGATAGATTTAGGAAAGACTTTCGCCCATTTCAAAGAAACGACTAACGTAATATTCGTAAATGCTACCTCTCTTTTACCGTGTTTTTATTGAATGTATCCAATTCGATGTATTGAGGCTGTGATGAAATGCCGCCGAATATATTTCATTTCTAATAGCGATAAACCCTCATTTAAATGCGAGACAGCGGGAGTTTAACAATTCTTAGGATAATTGGGATGACGAAAGTAGGGCAGTTGCAAAAAAACGAAATACGTCCTAAGATATGAAGACCTTGAGACTGGATGGTATTCTGTAAGGAACAAATATGCGAAAGGTTGTATGGTGTCCTTGAAGGATTCCAAAATAAAGATGCTTAAAAATATACTGTAGCTACTACCGAGGCATCGCTTTGCCTATTTTTGGCAGTAACGTCGACGTAAAGTACTTGAAGAGGAAAGGTCAAACGTGATAGTGCAGCACGACTTTCACGGCGACCGCAATATTTAGATGAGGTATTTCCTCCTCACCGGATCTTCAAAACCGTTGGAAGTATGAAACGGAGATTTGTGCCTTCGTCATGGATCTGAAAAGCGTTTACGGCCGGATAGCTTGTCGAGACCGTGCGGAATGTCCTTTGGAAGGTTGAACGGATTATCATCCCCTAGGACCACTGACACTGTGAACAAATTCATAAATCTGTGCGCAGAACGACGTCAGAAGTTATCAGTCTATCACCTGTTAGTTTTCATAAGGAACTAGTGTAATTCTCCTTCATATTTAACCATGGTAACTTTCAACATAGTCTTGATAGTTTCACTACCGCTAGAAAGAAGCTGGGATAAAAAAGATTTTGCGATTTCGAGAATAGGTCATTGAAGATGCTCTGCATGCTCAGTGGTGCGTAACTACCATTTCTGAGAAATTTAAGCATATTTGGGTGACAGTTAGCAACTGTAGGAAAAGTCCCCAAGCAGATGCCCAAATGGGGGTGAAACGAGCGCACTAACGCAAGAGCTAAACAGGCTTGCGACGATGATGAAACGGTTGAGTAGCAAAATGATCCTGCCATTATCGAGTCTGTTTGTTTACGCACATACTTTCGCATATAGTTGTGAGTGGTTTACAGTTACTGAACAATTGCGATAGAAAATGAAAGTCGCAATAAAGTGGTTTTTTCAAAGGGCTACAGGTGTGACCATGGTTCAGGAGTTTCCGAACCCAAGGTTTGAGTTACCTTGTTTCTGAACAGGTGGAGATGTCAGCAATACAGTAGTTTGGTCATATGACCGTATTGCATACAACGGATTTATGACGCAGATCCTCTTTTCAGTGGCACGCGCCGTGCTCGACAAGCAGATGATTGAGATACATTGAATTCCTGACATTTTTGCACCGTGGCACCTACCTATGGAGCTTTTCTAATTTATGCAGAAACAGTATTGCTGAAGAAACTTCTTAAAAAATCCTAAAATCTTAGACTTCAGTTCTGCCACTGAGATTACCCAATACACGCATAATGCACACAAAAGTGAAACCCATATCTACCCAAGGATTAAAGCTATTTAGACCCAAGCACTGAACTTTAAAAATGTCATTGTATAATGATCTGCTCAAAGTGCTCCTTAAACTCTAGATGAACTGGGGCAGGACAGTAGGGCTGCATAAGCTGGAAATATGCGCGCTGGTAAATCTCATCGGCAGCAGTGAAAAGTGACTTTGATTGGTAGACCTAAATTTCTGTATATTAGCGATGTATAAATTCTTCTTGTTGCATCTAGCAATTTTCTTGGCAGACACCTGAGGGGGATTAATGGGTAGAAAACGCGCATGCGCCACGGTGAAGTCAGCACGTAGTTATGAGTAACACAAAATAGGAGCGATGGATGATGCAGTATTTTTGGAAATTCAGTTCCTCGTAAGACAGGTGATTACCAAAAGGAATTTCGCAGGCAGACTTAGAGAGCAAGCAGATGATTTTCATAGACTCTACATGTGTGCTGTCTTCATCGTTCACTAAATGATAAGAGATTCGAATGATTTCAGGGGTTGGTTCCAAATACGAGTTCAAGCAATCGTCATGTGGAAGGGATCATTTAAACGAAACTTTTTCACAAAGTGAGTTCGTTTTATTTGCATTCGATGCAGAAACTCAAGATCAAATATGATCGGAGTTAGCGACATGCCTTGATAATCTGGCAATTCGGAAATTATAAGGTAAGTGTTTCATTTCGAAACTTTTCGACCTAGCGAGGCAGTTCCTTATCTGCAATTTATCTAAGAAATTTATCCAATTTATGTATTTCACTCACCCCTGAACAGCATTGCAAATGATAGGCAATGATCAAGTGGCAATCTGGCATTATCAGACTTTGTTAGCAGTACAGCTTTGAACCTTGAAACCTTGTGATTCCAACGACTTTATGGTCATTTTGGCATGTGAACGACTTTCTTCGCGGCTTTTATTTTTGTTCAGTCAGGCAAGGCCGAAAGATCATTCCTCATCAATCGAAAGTCATTGTGACTAGAAGCTCGGCGTCACCCATGACTCCGACATGATTCACAACTCCGAAACCTTTCAATGCAGGTATGCGATTAGACTGCAGTTGTGACCAGTGCAAAATGATCTTCCTTGCTTGTGCCTAACACGGTCAGCTAATTATAGAAAAATGCACTATTACGCTTTCCGCATCTTGACTAGAGCCTGTCTTCTCATCTAGTAAGCTGGACTTTATATGGCAATGCCGCACAAACCCATGTGGGGGGGGCTGAGTTACGATGCAACTCAATTTGTCTTATGTGACGCGTTTTTTGTTCTCTTCATTCGCTAGCTCATTGCTCGCGCTTCAGCCAAGTTTGGGGACCTTAAATTTACGTCATAGACGTGGATAGTTGTTACCTGGAAAACGGATATCCCAAGCGCTAAAGGTGTGAACGTTGAGCAAGACGGTTGTGAAGCATAATCGAATATTTCACAGAATTTTCTTTGTCGAAAACACTTCACTTCGCAAAACACCGAAGGCAATAAATATTCAGGAAATATGCTATGCTCATTCAGAACCTCCTTGACAAACAAAACTATTATTCGATGCTGATACAAGCTGCGTTTGTGACTCCCTTTCCCAACCCACTTCGGCTTGCGATCTTAAGGCTTCCGACCTTGGATGAACTTGAGCAATGGGTTGAAACTGGGTCTGGAATGAGAATAAATGTTTTCCAAGATTTTGTCAGTGTGGAAACAGCATAGGATGCGGTAAATAAACAGGAAATGCCTATTAGAAGGAGGTCAGCTCTCGGCGTGTCTTCACGTAATCTCCGATGGGTCCGAGACGAAGTTGTACGCCAACAGGCAACGATTACGACGAAAGTTGTGTTGTTCAAGCTGTTCGGCTGAAAAGAGGAGCAACGTGTCAACAGGACGCGTATGTTCAAGCATGTATGCGCCACCAGGGCAACCGCAGATGTGATTTTGGCAGGTTGGTGGCAGGTTTGCAGTCGCTTCTGTGCAGTTTGCATGAGAACGCAATGAACAGTGAGGCAAATCCCTCGTTCAAGACAAGTAGTCATTCATTGGACACAATGCTACCTCAACAGTTCTTCCCGGTTAATGTCATTTGAACAGATGACTGAAAACTTTCAACTTCTTACCTTTGACTTTTTTCGGTGTACCATCCACAGACCAAGGAAGATTAGGACGAAACAGATGAAGATCAATGCCATACCAGTCGCTGATTTTAAGTAAGCGCTATGACT